AGGTTTTCAAGAAGGCTAAAATAAAATTGTGGATTAAAACTCATCTAGCTGAAGTACATTTCTTTTCAACAACCCAAAATGAATGGACTTCTACTGTAGGGCGACGTTTCTTAAACATTATTCTTCATTATTTTGAAAATTGTGTTGATAAAAAAATCACTTTAGGCATGGTTCCAATTTATAGAAGTGCAACTGCTCTTAACATCAAAAAACTAGTAAGTTAATATTATAATCTTTTTCTTTTTTTAGGTTTCTAATCATTTTATTTTTTATTTTTTTACTAACAGTTCGAAGCAAGATTGATGGAATTAGGCTAGGATCCAGAGAAACACATTTTTGGCACTTCTAGTGATGGTGCGAGCGCTATGGTGTCATTTGGTTCTATGATCACATCAGAATATGTCCAGTGCAGCGATCATGGAATTCATCTGGGTGTTATTAAAGTTCTTTATCTAAAGAAACATTCAGCAGATGCTCCAGTGGATGACGACGATGTCTTTTTCGTTGAGTGTGGAAATGAAGATGAACCTGATGAAGATGGACCGAATCACTTTGCTACATCGACTGTTGCAGCTATGAGCAAACTTGCAGTGAAACTAATGGAAAGACTCTTCAGTACTGAAAATGATGATTGTGTGGAACAAATTGAACAGCAAGAAGAACCATCAGCATCAACATCACAGCAGGTTCAAAGAATTTTAGCTGAGCAACTAACACTTGCCTTGAAAGCTTCAAGAGAGGTCACCAACAAGCAGGCGGGCAAAGTTATTGACTACAAAAAGAAGATGCAGATGTATGCAAAGACAAAAGTACGTTCACCAACTCTGGATGGACTTTTCGAGGGACTGAATACAATACAAGCAACATCAGTAGCTGCAGAACGTTGTTTTTCGGAAGCAAATATTCTTGTGAGCAAAGTTTGCAACATCTTTGTGATGAGAACATTGATGCTATTTCTTTTCTTTAATGTTATTTTCAAAATAAATTAATAAAGTAGATTTAAACATAAATTTTGAGTTCTTTGTATTGTTTTTTGTATTTTTTGATTAAAAATTTTCAGGCTTCAGAAAGAAAAAAAATATTGAAAAGCTAATTCCTGGTAACGGTAATTCCCGGGAATGAGCTTTTTCATTCCCAATATTCACGAAATTGAAATTCCCGGGAATTTGAGGATCACTAGTCCGAATACTGGATAACAGTACATGTAATGTGACTCCTAACTCTGTTCATGAACAATTTTTAAGGCAAGTTATGCTTGATGAGACATTCATGATTTCCAAACATGCTTTAAATGCAATCGATAGGTTGTTAAACGATGTTTCAACAACAAATTTCCATTTGGAGGTAAAGTCATTCTTTTTGGAGGTGACTTAAGGCAAATATTGGCTGTTGTGAAAAGAGGACGACCAGCTAAAGTTGTAGAAACATGTATAAAATGTTTTTTACAGTGGCAGTGGGTGCAGAAGTTTATATCAACTGAAAATATAAGTGTACGTGATGGAGGAGAATTTTCCTAATGGCTATTAAAACTTGGTAATGGAACAATACCTGTCAAGGAGGAAGATCCTTTTAAAAATGTATTAAAATACTGAAGCAGTGCATTATTAGAGAAAACAATTTAATTGTTGAATAGATATTTGGAGATCCTCAACAAGCTGATTATGCTAAACGCGTCATTTTAACACCCGCTAATGTGGATTTATTGTCAATGAATGAAGAAGTGCTTGAATGTCTCCACGGAGAAGTCAAAACTTATTTAAGTGCTGATCAAATTGAGACTGACGATCTTAATGAAAGAAATAGTTTTGCTGTTGAGTTTTTGAACAGCTTAACTCCTTTAGGTATGCCTACTCATTGTTTAAATTGAAAATTGGTTGTGTAACTATGCTACTTAGAAATTTAGATCTTAAAGCTGGGTTATGTAATGGCACTCGAATTAAAGTTTGCGCTCTCCAAAACAATTACATTGATGCAGAGATTTTGACAGGTGTTTCTGAAGGTAAAGAGGTATTTGTTGGTTGAATTCATTGGCTCCATAGAATTATAATTTATCTTTTGTTCTAAAACGTTGTCAGTTTCCGGTCCAATTGGCATATTCTATGATAATAAAAGTCAAGGTCAAACAATTGAAAGAGTTGGTTTTATTTAAAAAAAACCATGTTTCTCTCATGGTCAATTATATGTAGCGTGTTCAAGAACAAGGGTGTTTAATAGTTTGTATTTTAAAGTTGATAAACATCCTATTCAAGGTGTGGTAGGTGAAAAGTGTTACACAAATGTTATATTTTCGAATGTTCTTAATTTGTAATTCTAAAATTTCATAATCTCACTCGGGTCCGACTGGCTTATTCAATAACAATTAATAAAAGTCAAGGTCAAACATTTGATAGGGTTGGGGTATATCTCAAAAAAACGTGTTTCTCTCATGGTCAATTATATGTTGCATGTTCAAGAACTAGAGCATTTAATAGTTTGTTTTTTAAAATTGATAAACATCCTAGCCTTTTTTAATTATTCTGAAAACACACGTCTGTTAATGTTTGGTGTAGTGTGTATGAGAGAGTATGCAACCTTAATCTTAAAATCTAGGGTGCATTAATGTCCTAAATTTGAAATAATCAAATAACTAATATTGAATATATAAAAACAAATATACTTTATTAAAGTTTAGTAAAAAGATAAATATAGTCTTTATTTTTTTGATTTTGCATTTCATATTTTTAGTTTGGTTTGTTATTTTAACTGGATTTTAGGATCAAGGGTGCAAATATGCTATTGTTATGTGTTATTGTTGTAATGTTGTTGTGATGCTTTGTGTTGACAGCTTGGCTTACCTTCCCGTTGGTGTCTATTGTTACAAATAAATAATAGGTAGTTTCGTTAATTGAATTTACGGCTTTCATTTATTTATTAAAAAAGACATAATTTTGCTAAAAATGCAATTTTCATCTTAATTTGAGTTTTTTTTTAGTATTTTTAATCCTTTTATACTTCAAAACAGATTTTAGTCACATTCGATTAATGTTTATATTAACTGCAATATCAAAATAGGTTACTATAAATAGGTAAATCGATTTTCAGTTTTTATGTGCTGTTTTTTTTTTATCTTTATTTTTTTTTGTAATTATAATATCATAATTCTATTACTTTTTTATTTAAGATTTACAATACAACGTGTTTATATAATTTATAAAAGAAAAATAATCTGATTTTCTGTAAATTTCTGTTAGTTAGAAAATATCAATATATTTACTTTTGAGGGAAGAATGAAAAAATTCTTATATATGTAGATCATTATTTTACATTTTATTGTTTTGGTAAATGGTCTTCATCAAAAACTTGATTACTCGTAATAAAAAAAAATCTACTCACCTGGCCACCATTAAAGCAAGAAGAAGGGAGAAACCTCTTTATTAGTGTCAAAATATTTAGGAAAATTAAATTTTGAGTAACAAAAGGAATTTTAAGTAAATGGTAGCAAATTATCGTTTACTAAAAATTAATGAAATAAATGAGGCCAAACAAATAATATAGAAATAGTCTGTGTGGAGCAGACTTAACAAGACCTGGGTCCAATCAGCTAGGTTTACAAATTTTTATATCTACTTATCTGTTACAATTTTTATTTTAGGTTTGTCATATGATGCATTGATGCATGATGAATCATAGATGAGCATTTGACTTAATGAAAATCCGGGAAATTTTTTTCTATGATAATCCCGGAAAATTATTTTATTAAAAATTGATTGCATTTAACTGACAAATCGAATTTAGATTATTTTAAAACGGAATTTAGATTATTTAACTTTTTACAAAAAGGAATTTCTAATATTCGAAAAAGTTTGAATGAATTAAAAAGCAAAAAAAAAAAAGAAAACAAAAAAAAATTGTTATGAAAATTGATCTTGTAAAAATTTTAATTATAGAAAACATATTTGCTTAAACGCAAAAGTTGTTGTATGTAAAATTTTATGTAAAAGTATATTAATTTTTTTTCAAATTAATATCAAAAAACATCTGGAAATTTCTTGAAAAACTAAAGGTGTTTTAAGTGAATTTCCGGAATTCCTGGAATTTTCGGAAAAAACTCATCTATGATTAATGCAATATAAAAGATCAAAGTTATTAAACATATTTTTTTAAATTTGTTATACACATGTTTGATTGCAAAATAAACTTTTTTTGTTTAAAACCGATTTGTACTCAGTTGCTTAGTTATTTACAATAAACTAAGTTATTTTTAATAAATTTATTTAGTTGTGTGCATTTATCGATTTTAAATTAATTAATTAAAAATGCGGTAGTGGTGTAGTGGTAGAGCGCTAGCTTCATAAGCGAGAAGTTCCGAGTTTGATCCCCTCCACGCCCCTGGTAGTACCACGCTCAATTTGTTTCTCCGGCTTTGTTCATCAAGGTTTGTGTTTCGGAGTTATAGAGTTGAGAGAGGGTTATAACCACAATCAAGTAGCCTCTTTGTCTGTAGTGGCCTTCTCGACCTTGGGGAGGTGAAATGACAAAAAAAAAAAAAAAATTAATTAATTAAAAATAATAATTTTCTTTTTCTAAAGAAAAATTAATCATGGGGATACCAAAAATTGATAACTCCTGTATAGTATAATTAACTTCATTTTAATCCTAATAATTAAATTTAAAAATTAAATTTTGACAACAAAAAGAATTTTTAGTAAATGTAGGCTTGGTCGGGAAGCGAGAGCGATCGCTCTTGAATACTGACCATGGGAATTATATTTAGGTGTGAGAAACTGGCCAGGTTTTTTAGTCGTTTTGAGAACATTTAAGTGATGAATGAAACAATATATATATATATATATATATATATATATATATATATATATATATATATATATATATATATATATATATATATATATCAAAATATAGTTTAATAATTCATAAAATAAGTTTTAATGTATTTACTTTTAATGTATTTTGGAACCTTATAATCATTTAAATTCAACCAACAAATTATTTAAACAAACCTTGAAGTGAATGCTTAAAACCAGAAGAAGAGTGAACCTGTAATACAAAATAATACTAACATATAGAAGAAAAATCAAAAAAACTAAATATATTTTAACGTTAAAAAAGTTAAGGGATAGGAAAGTTAAAAAAGTTCACCATTCTGTTTAATATATGAATATAGGGTATAAAACAATCATACACAAACAAATTTTGCTTTATTTTCAGTGATGATCTTTTGATCTAGTCTAATAGCTTGTGCAAACATGTAATCATAAAATTGATCCTAGTCAAAAAAAATTTACATAAAATTTTAAAGAAATAACATAACTTATAAATAATAACAGAAAAAATATGAAAATAAAAAAGCAACTATATATTTATAAAATATAAATAATTATATTACCTTAACAAAGCCAGGACTTGCAATTAAAATACATTTCAAAACTGAAGAAACATAATAATGTTAAACTAAGATTAGAAGGAAAAAAAATAAAAAAATAAAAGTGTTAACACTCTTACCATCAAAGTTAAAATGTCGAATAACTGCTTGAATTATTTGATCATAGAATTTAAAGAGACCCTGTTTTCATTTATAAAAATAAATTAAAAACGATATTATCATTTGCAAAATTTAAATATTCATAAGTTATATATACTCAAACTTTTAAATATTTGTCTACCATTTTTAAATTTCACTATTTGTGCATTACAATAAAAAAAAAAAAAAAAAAATGAAGACAAAAGAAGAAAAGAAAAGAAAAACGAGTCTATTTTCTTTGAGACCAATATACGGAAGAAGTAAAATGAACAAGTTGAAAAATTTTGACAAAGTTAAAATTTTATTTTTATTTTTACTTTGCTAGTTTAAATAAATATTTAAATAATTGATTTAACTTCTGTGGATAAATATTTTTGTATACAAAACTAATACCCTGTTCTTACAATAAAACTCACTTTATTCTAAATGCTCTGAGTTTTAATGTTAAAAACTGTATAAAACAACAAAACAATATGATGAGGTTGTTTTATATTAACAACTTTTTTATATTAACAAAACAACATTGTGATATTGTTTTGTTGTTTTATGCAGCTTTTTGCAGTAACATTTTATCATGCATTTAAAAAATAAAAGATCTTTTATTGTCAGTGTGAACAAGTTATAAAATATCACACTACAGTCCAAAAGATTTTTATTTCTGTCACTTTTTTTAGTAGAATGTTGTTTACAATTATTTTACAATTAATGTAGAAAATTTAGGTAACTATACAAAAATTGTTGTTGCTAGGACATATTTAGAACTCAGAATTCTAAACTTGAAGGATTCCTAATATACAGGTATAATTAAAAACATATACCTTATCATGTTGGGAACAGTCACCTTTCCGCTTTCTTGGAATGTTTACTTCAATCTTTGCACGAACAATTGTCATACAGGATAAAATTAAACATACATGAGCTATTCCTTCTTGCATGACTATAGCTCCAAGATCTGCTTGCTTAGTTGCATCACAAGCATTATCTAAATTAATAAAAATTGTCATCAGCGCATACAACAATTTATGAAAATTACATTGATAAAAGCGGGTGTTATAATTAAAATATTACAAGAAGGCTAGGGTGGTTCTAAAAACGTCTTTTTTAAAAAATGACTGCTTGCACCCCTTGAATTTGTTGTATATAATAAAATAATGCTGGATTTAAAAAACTTTTGAATAAAAAATATATTTTAAGGGGTTGCTACTGATCCTCAAACATTAAATAGGTCCCTAATATTATTAAAAAAAGTTTTTCAAAAGTATGTCATTTGTTGGGTCTCAAATTTTATAAAAATTTCAAAAATTATATTCATTTTATAAAAAAACATTGACAAAAAAATTTATAACTAGAAAATCTTGTTAAATTCCTTATTACTCATTTTTAGTTAAAAAAAGTAATTTTCTTTTCACTAAAATCTAAAATAAAAATTTACTTATAAAATGATTAATTAAAGTGAGCAATAAAATTACAATACAAGTGAGCATTAAAATAACTATGATACAAGTGGGCAATAAAATGGTACACAAAAGCACAAGTTCATATATAAAGTTTTAAGATAAAAAGGATGTACTTAAACACTATGTGAATACATGGGGGTAGTAATGAAGCTAGTAATATATGAAGTCAAGCTCTATTTATGAAGTTAGTAATGTTATAAGTGTTGGAACATTGTTACTTCAAACAATTCTGTTTTGGTTAGCAAATTTTCAGTTACCTTTAAAAAAAAACTAAAAAGCTTGATTGATTGATTTAGAACCTTAATTTTTAAAGTATGATTGGATATGGTTGATTACAAGGCTGGTTGGTAGTTTCCAGAGAAACTGATTACAACGATATGTAATAATAACAACCTATTCTCTCAATAGCAACAATATCCCATTTTTCTTTCTTTAATACAAACTTTCTATTGAGTTCAAGATCAATCGTATGATATTGACCCATCTAAAAAAAATGAATAAATATAAATAAACAATAAGATAATGATAAATAATAAAAACAATATTTTAAAAGTAACAATAAATTGTAAAACTTAATGTTTTTAAAACTTAACCAAAAAATAAATAATAATTAAAAGCTCTCTTGAAATCCAAATACATAACCTAAATCTTTTTTTTTTTAACAAATTTGACATAAGAAATTTTTTACTAACAAATTTAAACATTAGATGAAAATTAGTAAAAACCAATTTCAATATAAATGTTTTTACACAAACTTATTTCAATATAAATGTTTTTACACTTAAACTTATTTCAGTATAAATGTTTTTTCACTATATTTTTTAAATAACTAAAACAAGTAAATTTATATAAAAGTATTAAGTGTATGTGCAAAAAAAAAAAAAATTATGGTATTCAATATATTTGAAAATCAGTTAATGAAAAATAAGGTATTCAACATAGTTGAAAATCAGTTTATTATTATTAATCTTAATTATTTATTATAATTTTTAGTAATTATCATTACTAATAAAACATTACGATTTGGTTGTACTATAGGTGTTATTAAAGTAGTAAGGGAGAGTTTGGATTGATGATTCTAAAAATCATTAAACTCTATTAAAAATATTTTTGATTTTATTTGATTGTTTTCTTTTTTGATTTTTTTTTTTTTATTGGATAAAAATCTTTCTGACTTTTTTCTTTTTCTTTTTACTAAGATTTAGTTTTTTGACTTTTTTCAAATTTAATTTCAAACAGTTTCTGTTGACACTAATATACTCTATGATGTTAACACTACTTTATGATGTTGACACTTTAATATCAAAAATATTTTGTTGAAAACTCATGATAAAGCATAAAAATAATTCTTTGCTGCTAAAAACTTGTATAGTAACAATAGACTAAAATACAATACTTGCAGGTTGTATTTTGGTCTATTGACATTTCATACTGATCTTTTAAGTATCATTAATTCTATTCCACTCTATTTAGATTCCTGATAAATAGTTAGGTCATTGAGAACTATAAATAATTATAAGCAGCGATTGGCTGTTTTATTTTAATTTCTTTTCTTACACCATATTCAACTGTAAAAAAAAAAATAAAGCATTTTTGTGTTGCTAAACTATTTTTTTTAAGTTATTGAATAAATATTTTAGTTTTAATATTTTTTATTATAATTATTTACTTTAAAAACACACACACATACAAATACAAAATCTTTGTTACAAAGCTATACTTTGCACAACAATTATATTTTAATAATGTTGAACCTCTAGTGTTTTGCACGTTGCAAAGCTCTACCTTGTGATAGTATAGTGACTGTCATAGTGGTGCAGTGGTTCTTGCTTCATTGCAGAATTACAAGAATTATAGGTTTGACCCCACCCATTCCTGGTAGAGCATTTAACTTGATTTTCTGCACATTAATTGTTTATCATAGTTTACGATTAGAGTTTTAGGATTAAAAGAGTGTTGTAACAACATTTTAAAAAGTTATATATTAAATAAATATATAAACAAAATATAAAAAACTTATACAAAATTTTAATAAAAGTTATTTGATTTAGTTTTGTTAGAAAGATTTTTAAAAGTATTCAGGCCTGCAATGAAGTGAGATCACTCTGCACACATGAAACACACCCATAAATAGCCTTCTAGGGGCAACAATTAGTACTAGCAAATTAGTTACAATAGTAAAAAATCATGCTCCTATGAAATGCTTGTGAGGGAGAAAATTACAAGTTAATTTTATAGAAAATATTTATTGTAAAATTTATAAAACATACAATATAAGTCTTATAAGACTTGCAATAGCATGCTAAGGAGGCTTATTAATTAACTTCCTGATTTTACTTATTTATTTGAACTCACCTCCCCAAGGCCATGAAGGCCGCTAACATTGAGGAGGCTACTTTAGTTGTGGTTACAACCCTCAACTCTATAACTCTGAAACACGAACCTTAACAAACAAGACCACTGCGCGGAGAAACAAGTTGAGAGGGTTACTACCAGGGACATGGTGGGGATCAAACTTGAAATTTCTCGCTTATGAGGCAAGCGGTTTACCACTACACTACTACCGCATTGGTGTAATGCGCTAGTGGTGTAGTGGTTACAACATAACACTACAGTTTTTATAAAATGAAAACAATTCTCAACTTTCTGCAAAATATTTTTTCTATTACTTGAATTTTTTGGTATTAAGAAATTCTTTCTGAAAAATCTGGTGATGGTCAAACTGTATGAGAAATTTAGATAAGTTTTTTTTACTAATTTATTATTTGTCTATTATTTAAGAACACTGAGCACTATATTTGTATAATACATCAACTTAACTCAATCAAAGGTCGACCAAATAGTGTTTTAGGTTGGTATCAGGTTGGCACATAACTTTGAAACAGTGTTAAACAAATTGACAAACCAGCAAACATTTAATATAAAATTTACAGCAAAACTAACGCAGAGTTTGTCAACTTTTCTTTAAAATATCGACATTTTCTTAAAAGTTTTAAAAACAAACTTGCTTATTTTGTTTTAATCATTTTATTTATTTTTAATAAAGGGTTTGTTTTTCCATTTTTATTTTTATTGTTTTGTTTATTATTTAAATAAATATTTCATTTTGGGAATTTAAATGGAACATTAGTTATGCCTTTTTAAATCAATTATTTTATTAGGAATTTAAAAAAATAAAAGTTCATTTTTCCATTTTTATTGCATTTATTTTAATTAGAATTTAAATAAAAAGTTTTCTTTGCTTCTTTATTTTAATTGTTTTGTCAGAAATTATATTTAAAAAAAAAAACATTTTTTTTGTGTTTTTGTTTTAATTGTTTTATTTACAATATAAATAAAAGGTTTGTATTTAGAATTATAATAAAATGTTTCTTTTTCTGTCGTGTTTTTAAATTAACTTGTTCAGAATTTGAATAAAACATTGGTTTTGCAACTATTATTTTTAATATTTTATTTAGAATTAAAATAAAACATTTTTTTTAAGTAATAAAATTCTGAGATTGTCAATTTTTACTCCGACACTGTTAGGTTGGCTTGCTGAATGCCAATCTTAATTCTGAGGGCTGTATATGTGAGTGTGTATATTAATATATAAATATATCAGCCTTCGGAGTTATGGTCAGCTGTTGGCAATGTCAACCTAAAAGTGTTTGAGGCCAACAAAACATTTCTGACCTTGTTTTATGGTTAGACCTTTGTCTCAAATTTTTCTTGCCGACCTGATGCCAACCTCTAAAAGATTGACTCATTTTTCTCAATTCTGAGGGTTAATATATATATATATATATATATATATATATATATATATATATATATATATATATATATATATATATATATATATATATATATATATATCCAGCGCTCGAAATAACGGCCGATCAACGATCAATGATCAGCTATTTTTAGGGAAATTTCGAAAAATTTGAAGGAAAATAGTCTGTTTTTGTGAAAAAATTACATTTGATCAGCAAGCCTTGAAAAACTATTTCGAGTGCTGTATATCAACCTTCAGAATTGAGAAAAATGAGTCAATCTTTTATAGGTTGGCATCACACATCATTACTTCTATTTACGCAAATTAATTCTAGTCTACACTTAGCACTGTAAGGAAAAATGACTAGAATATGTAAGAACTCTGCTGAAAGCGAAAATTTTTATAAAAAATAGCAATGCGCAACTCAAAACATCAGTGGGCAACCAACATTAACAAACTGGTTACTTTCAGATCAAAAGTCTGAGCATACACCCCTGTATGTGTGTGTGTGTGTGTGTTTATATATATATATATATATATATATATATATATATATATATATATATATATATATATATATATATATATATATATATATATAGGTAACTATAAAACATAATTTTTTTTTTAAAATGAGCAATAAAATAAAATTTTTACTTTAACAAATTGGTTTTCTTCGACATTCCTTCCTTTGACTCTCAAAACACAAGCTTGAGTATCAAAATCAGTGTTCTCAACTTGAATGGTTAAAGTTGTGCGAACTTTATTACTTGATGTGCTCCCAGTTGCTGACTCAGTTTGCACACGCCTGCAAAAATTATTATTATTATTATTGTTGTAAAATTAATTTAGGTAATAAGCAGATTTTATTGAAGATTTATTATTTATATAACAAGACAACAATAGTTGATTGCATAAAAGTTAAAGTTTAAATGATTTTTTAAAAACCACCATTCTATTCTATTTAACTCTTTTTAATTCTAAGCAGAAAGTGTGTTACATTTTTTGTCACTTATTCTATTTAATTTTCGTTAATTTTATTTTGTTTTTCAGTAGTTTTTTTTTTTTTTTTTTTTTTTTTTTGTAGATACATTGACTAACTTAAACAGTAACAACATGCTAAGAGTGTACACCAACTAAGTGTTTGGGTTATGACAGGCAATCTTAATGTCAAACTATTTCCCTGATATATAAATACTTCCCTGATATATAAAATACTTCCTGCATGTTTTACTTGTTCTTCAAGTCAGACAAAAGTCATAAAATGCCATTACAAGTAGTAAAATACCAACATACACAAAATAAAATAACAAGGTCATTTGTACCCAAACAAAAAAATACCAATTACAAGGAGAAATGACAATTTCATATTGATATTATTACAATTTACAATATAATTTTTGTAAAACGAACCCTTAATATTTAATGTATCTAGTTACTATTGTTAGTTGATAGTTGCGATTCTGTAATTCTGTAGTTTTCAATCTATTTCTGGACTGACACGCATTCATAAACTCATGCAGTTTTTTTTTTGGATTTTAAACAAACAAGTTGTGCTATTTTAGCTTTTAAAGTATAAATATTTTTGTTTTAAATTTAATATACTTTTTTTGGATTATAAGCTAATTTTTTTTTTATATTTAGATTATGTATACACTTGTATACACTTATATACATATATTTGATTAAAATTTAATTTTTTTAGTTTATCAAGAGATTGAATAACCAGTTTTTAGTTTTTTTCATGATAAGTAATTTATAAAATTTAATGAACAAACGCTAACAAAACTTAAAAACAAACTTTAATACCTCAACCACAACAGTAAATGGCAAATCGTTCCTTTTGTCTCGAAGAGAGTACTAACTCGAAGCCTCATCAAAAAAGTCTCCTGCATTGTAATTAGAGAATTCAAACACAAAATAACCAATGATAAACAAACCTCTAAACGTTGCTATGTTTATATTAACAACAAACCCACCATTAACAATTAAACAACTTCTATGTTATTTTTTACTTATTTTATGTCTATTGCGATAGTTGTTTGCAGTAAATAACTGATTTTTATTGGAATTAAAATCCACAAGCCACTGCGTGCCCTAAGCTGTTACAGAAGAGAGATCAGATTAAAGATTGGCTGCTTGTTCTAAGCCATCAAAAAGTGAAGACTTTTTTCCAAGACAAGAGTATAAAGTTGAGTTATCAGCAAATAGAGCCACTTTAGTTGTAAGATTTATTAGAAGATAAAAAAACGATACAAAAGCAAAGATAGAACCTTGCAGTACTCACAAAGTTACTGAAAATTAAGAAGAGTTTTGGCCTTGGAGAATGACTTTAATTTTGTGATTATAAAGAAATGATTTAATAACCTTAAAACTTTTATATGAAGAAACTAATATTAAAGAAAAGAGAGAAGACTAATTGTAGGATGGTTAGAGAGGTAAGAATGTTTTCTAGAGTTTATAAATACTAAAAGTTCTTTGCAAATAACTCTGCTTTATTCTGGTGAGAAGTAATAAGACCTGACCCATAAATTAAAGATGTAATGTTATACTTACTTTAGTTAATGACACTGTTAAAGATTTTCTAAAAGTCTCTAGAACTTAACATCTGAAACAAGATATGCCAAAAAATAGCGTCTGGTTTTTTTTTATACTAATATGCTATAAACATCCCTCGGAATTAGGAAAAATGAGGTCGGCAATAATTTGCCAACCTCAATCTTATAGAGGTTGGCATCAGGTCAGCAAAAAAAAAAAATTGATACAAAGGTCTTACCATAAAACATAGAAACGAGGTCAGCAATATTTGCCGACCTCAAACACTTTTAGCTCGGCAGTTAGGTCAGCATTGCCGAATGCCGACCTTAATTCTGAGGGTTGTATATAATAATATATTAATATGCTATATAATAATATATAATATGCACTATTTTAATGCTATTATTTTTTTTGCCAATATGTGATATACGATTTAGTAAACTAAAAATTTTAGATTCTTAAGCTGATGCTAAACTTCTTTTAATTTTAGAATTAAAAGAAGTTTAGCATCAGACAGAACCTTTTTTTTGCAATAATAAAAATATATTTCTTTACAACTGATGTTCTTTTATAAAAGAAGAAAAAATATATTATGGTTTAGAGAAGATGAGGATGATGATCAGATGGATGTGTGGTATTACTCTAACAAGATAACAAAAGAAGCCATAATCTTAAACAGATTAGAAAAAACATTTTTCTGAAAGAGTACATTACATAGAGTATGAAAGAGTTTTAGTTAAGGAAAGAAAATGCTTGAATTTTTATATTAGAAAAATAGAATAAAAGGGAAAGGCTAAAGCTTGATAATGATGGTGATGACAATAATACTGATGAGAATAATGTTGATCAAAATGATACTTATATATAAATATACATGCATATATATATATATATATATATATATATATATATATATATATATATATATATATATATATATATATATATATATATTTATATATAAATATAGGATAAAACATAAATTTTGAATAAAAAAATATACTTTAGGATGTATTAATTTTTATGCAACCCCTGTCACAAACCTGGCCTTGTCAAATTTCAACCTCTTTTGCTTACTACTCAAAACTATTGTATTCAGTTTTTTTTAATTAAAACATTACAACCTTAACACGTTTGCTGTCAACTACAAGTACACTTGTAATAACCAGAAGCTATTTTTTTTGCCAACTATGAGTTAAGAGTGCATGAATTTGCTAATTATAAGTATAGTCGTAGTTGGCAAATTCATGACACCAGCACTCAACAAGTATACATGTAATTAGAAAAAAAAAAGTGTCTGGTTACTAGTTTATTTGTAGTTGGCAACCAGCGTGTTGAAATTATTTAGTTTTTTAATTATTCCTTGTGCAGCCAAACACCAGATTAATTAATTGCTGTGTAATCATGGAATCAAAAAGATGCCTTACATTTAGTTGTAATTGTGACATCAACAGTGACCTATAGTCTGCGTCTGCCTCCACATCTGTATAAGTCACATTACACTGGCAAAATATAGCCCGCACAAAATGTAAATTTCATGGTAAAAAATTGTTTAAATGTGTTGATGTTTTTTTGTTTAGTTATTCTTTAAAAACTTTTCACAAGATGTAATTTTACCATCGATGACAAACTTCAAGTTTAAAAGTTTATATTTTAAATTTAAAAAAAATGATATAATTTAATTAAGGATTGATTATATTACAACATTTTAATATTATTATTCATTTAATTAAAAACTAAATTACTAAATAAATATAAAAAATAATACGAGTATTTAAAAAAAAGAATATATAAGGATAAAGTAATGAAATGTTTTTGAAATAATTTTCAAAAAAATATTTTTACAATATTGGAATAAAGAAAGAACAAAATAAAAGGCAAGTAGAAATGTTAAAAATTATCATTAAAACATAATAATTCTAATTTTATCAAAAAACCGAGCGCAAGAACATCTAGGTGGCAGGCTTGCATAGTCTGCCAACTTCATTTTATTTTATATTAGTGTCACTAATCTAACGCATACACTATGTGAAAAAAAAAGGAATTTAAACAATTTTTTTTTCCTAAAGAAAAGATTGCCTTAAAATACTTATAAATGAAATTTATTAATCACAACTTACAATATTTAACTTTTAAATTTAAAAACTATTAACTTATAAACTAGTAAACGACAAGGGTATTTGACTGTGGCCAAGGTTGTTTCTATGGACAGGACTGCATAAACATTAGTGCATATTGACTTATTTTTATATATCATATCAATATGTACCAATATTTATACAGCACCAGCCATAAACCTGGCTTTGGTCTATATTGAATACCAGCCCTGGTCATTTACTAACACAAACTAACTTTTTATCTTTGCAATTAATAATACATTAATTTTACCCTAAATTTTTAATGGTAAAATTAATGTAACATTTTTGTGAGCCTGGTTTATTTATTATTAACTTTATTAGAAGAATAAAAATAGTAAAAATCTTAACTATATTTAGAGCAAAACTCGTGGGTTTAGATTTAAAAATCATGAATATGAAGCAATAATAATTCAGCTAATATATCATAAAATGTTAATCAGGCTAAGAATACTCTTCATCAAGCAACTAAGCAACTAGCAAGTAACTAAGCAATAGAGTTAGATCAATTAGATCTACTGGAGATCTAATAGATCTAATATTGCAATAAAAAAAATATTGCAATAAAAATAATTTATCATTCTACTCATGTTATGATAACATTTAAACATAAAACAATGATTAATAATCAATGAAATTAACTTATAATACACTATAATTTAATAAACCTATTAACTTATAATTATTAATGAAATTAACTTATAATAACTTCAAAACAATTTATAACAAATTCAAAAAGATTATAGTATAAACAAAAATAAAATGATACAAATACAATATACAACAATATAAAAATGCATATACTTTAAATAATTCTATATATATATATATATATATATATAAAAAAATCCAAATCTCACCGAATGGTTGTTGATCGCAACTGGTCATTTGGTGCAATTAAGTTATATGCATGCCACATATCTTCAGCTTCTTCAGGGACAAGAGTAACATGGCTGAAAATAAAAAATACATTAAAAATATAAAAAGAGCACTTTATTTTACTGTTTGAAACTTTGATTTTTAAAATACAGCAACAATTTATTTTAACACTTTTAATAATCTTATTGTTATTACATGGAACAAAATACCAGAATCTCTGACTGTCAACAGTTTTAAAGGAAGCCTTGACAGGTTTTAAAGTTATAACGCAACTTTTTCGAGTGGAATTTACTAGCTTCACAATTAATAACTATAATTTAACAATCTTCATTCTGTACTGCATTGATTACTACTACTACTACTACTACTACTACTACTACTACTACTACTACTACTACTACTACTACTACTACTACTACTACTACTACTACTACTACTGCTACTACTACTACTATTATTAATATTAATTTTACTACAACTATTACTACAACAACAACAACAACAACAACAACAACAACAACAACAACAACAACTACTACTACTACTAATACACTTATTGTGGTCAAAGCCAATGCCACTGCCAATAGACAAAAAGAAGCTGATAAAAAAATTTACGTTTTCTATTTGCGATTGACTAAAGCTTACAGCTTATCAAAAAAGCATAACTTAATTACAAATATCAGTAAATAAAAAGATTAAATTTTAGAATCTGTAGTTGTTGTATCTTTCAAATATAACTAACGACAGTCAGGGCCTTTTCTAGGAAAAAAATTAGGGCGGTGGTACCCCCCTTATTCCGGCAGTGGACAATCAGTGGAAAATCAGTGTTGTTTTTTGTGAAAAACACAATATTTGCCTTAGAAAAAGTATAAAAAAAAAAAATCCATAAATTTTAATTTGGATGGCGCCCAAATACGGCTGACGCTGTCAAAAACGGTCTTAAATAGCCCCTGATAGTAAAGGAATATAATTGCTGTGCAAGACTCTGAAGGTTAGTAGAGTGTTAACAAAAAAGTGTTTTATGAGTAAAACAAAATAACTAAAAAAATTTAATAAGGAATTTTGCAGTTGACAAAAAGACAAAATCCTGTATACAAAAAAGTTTAACAGTTAGAACCGTAACAGTGCATTAAATTGCAGTAAACTGAGCTTTAATATTTATTCTGATTCAAATTTCATCTAATTAAATTCTCATGGTATTTGAGCTGTTTTAGGCAAATATAAAATATCTAGGAAAAGTTATATTTGTACACTTTTAATACATTTTAATATCCGTAATAAACTTTTAAAATTACATTAAATATTTTATAATATATATATATATATATATATATATATATATATATATATATATATATATATATATATATATATATATATATATATATATATATATATATATATATCATTGTGAGAAAAGTAAGGTTTGGTCAATGGTCAATGTCCGCTCAAAATGACAAAAATTGCTATTTTGACCACCTAAAATGAATTCTTGCCGGTCATGGTTTACCAGTTGAAAAAAATAAGAGTTTTGAAAAACAAGATTTTTCAAACAATTATGATATAATTTGGAAAATGCATATATTGCAATTTCAAAAAATTATTTAAATTTTGAAAAAAAAATTTAAAAAGTTTTATTGTTTACAATAAAAGTTGCTCCATATCCTTCGTTTTATTGTTTACAATAAAAGTTGAACCTCATCCTTCTATTTTTTTTTTTCATTTTAATATATCTTTATCTAATTCAATCAAGTCTAGTTCACAGTTAAATGGGCCGCCTTGTAACTTTAATCAAACTAAAATAGAACTCCTCTTGCACACCTGATGTAAAGTTTGCTGCTCTTCCATTGTTATATATTTGTTTTTGTAGCTGGTTTTAACAATATTCCATAGTTTCAATTTTTTGGACAAATAATCAGACAATAATTTTCCAAAATATTTTTAAACTACGCAAACCTTCATTTTTTATATGGTTTAAATAATTAAGTTTACATACGCTGTTGAAATTAAATGGGTTTTTTCCAAAGCCTGTTGCAGTGATTGTAATTACTTTATCAACTCCAACAACTTAATTAGAAAGTTAATACTCATCATATTCCATCATCAACCAAACGCATGATGCTTTCTTTTTTTTTTTTCTAGAAGAACTGAGGCTAACTTTTGCCAAAATACTCTAGCAGGAATGATACAATCATTTAATCTCTTTGAGGTATACTTAGTAACTGCTTCTAGAATTTTTTATAACTAGCATTTATTGATTTTTTAAAACGTTTTTTTTTTTAAAACGCAACGATTAAAAATCAAATTCATCCAATCAAAATTTGAATAACATAAATTTAAAAAAAAGTTGCATAACTTTATAGGCAAAGAAACTTTTGCAAAGACTTTTATTTTTTATATCTTTAAATTTTTAAAATAGAAGTAGAAGGTCAACCATAAAAATTAGCAAAAACAGAATGGTTTTTTGAATTTTTCTCAAAAAATTAATTATGAATAACTGGTTGAACAAGAAATAGAACTTTGGACCTCCCATATATAAAACTTCCAGACATGTTGTGTTTATATTAAAGAGAATGATAAATGTTAGGGCTAAATTTTTTTTGATTAAAACAAAAGAACAAAAGCTAAAAATAAGATTTTTACACAATCAAAAAAATCAATAACGTCATGTGCTGAAACTCTTAGGAATAAAACGTATATTCATAATATATAAAAAATATATTATGAAGACTTTTTTGCCTACAACAAAAAAGAGAAGGCGAGCTTCAACTAAAATAAAAAAGTTAGTTTTTCTTGGTATTCATTTATTCTTTTGTTTAAATCAAAAAAATTTAGCCTTAACAATTTTTTATCATTCTCTTTAATAAAAATACAACATGCCATTGAGATTTAAGTTTAAAGTTCTTCCTTTAAGATTGAAGTTCTCATTTTATTATTATTTGAAATTATTGTATGTAACATTTTCTCTTCCAACTGTACTTAGTTGTTTTTTTCATTCAAACTTTTCAACAATTTTTCGTAGCTTTTTCCAACATTTGCGAAGTCATTGAAATGAATAAATTACTTATAGAAAAATTTAAAGTTATTAATTGCGCGTTTGCACTTTTTTATGCAACATAATTAATTGCTATAGTAACATTTCATAAAACAATTTCTTTTCTTTTTATTAAATATTAAAAACTCAGTTTAATATTTTGAATATTTTATAAAAATTGCTTTAACATTTAAAAAAAAAATCAATATAATTAAATTTCTTGGATATAATACATCCAAGTAACTGTATCATCATGCTTTACGCAAAAGGTACATAACTTCAAAGTAATACTCTATATTGACAGTACAACTTAGCCATGATAATCAAAGAAAACAGTAAGCAACACTTAAGTATTTTGTGGAACTTATTTTTCATTCTTGTTTCTCCTGGATACTTGCTTTGGTTTCTAATCATATACCTATGATTCATCACAAGTTTTTTTTGGTGATGAATCATAGATATATGATTCATATACTGTGCAATGGTATATGAATCATATATCATAGTATTCATCATAATACTCGTGCAATGGTTCTTTTGGTCAAAATTAACAGTTTTAGAACGAATTTTGCTGAAACACATTTTATGCCCAAAAATTCTTAGAAATAAATTAAATTTACAACAGTGGAAGAATACCACTGTTATAAATTGGTTCTCCATAATTGAAAATAAATGACTGCAAATTTATTCAATTTGACGTTATTTGAGTTTATCCCTCAATAACTGCAGATATTTTAGATGAAACAAATGAGTTTGCAAAAATCCACACAGTTTTTCCAGAAAAGACAATTAGTATAATAAAATTTTATTTTTAAAAGGAAACTTGAAGAAAATAAGCAGTTATGATGGAGCAGAAATTTATGAATTTGTTGGACTATATATTTTAAATTTATGAAGTAAAATAATCAATATTAATGATTTAGGCCTTTAACACGATTATGGTTAAATAGTAATGCATAAAAAATCTGGTTCACGCTTGATAAAATTAGAAAAGATATAAAAATTACTAAAAATATTGTCTTTCAAACTGAAATAAGCATAATTTTAAAAAATGTGAATTTTTATGTCAAATTTAACCTTTCTGAAAATTCATATAAGCAATTAAAAAACTAAATGACAAATTATTGTTATCGCTTATAATTATTACTTAACTTACCGCTACTGCTGCCCATTCGTGTGCGTTTACACAAACTTTTTTACCATTTAATATAAATAGGATTTAGCATTTTTCTTTTCTATACACTTTTAAACTCACGCGATGAGGTACTCTCAAATCTTAATAGTCTGTCAATATCTGAGTAATCAGTAATAAGATCGAAAACTTTGCTTCATTAGCTTATTTAGTGATGAGATTGACAATTTTTATTTGATAACTTCTGTAGTAAAGGATGAGCCTTATATTATTTTTGAATCAGTAAAGTTAGTGTAGTCATAAAAAATGTTAAAAAAATATTGTTAAAAAAATGTGTTTAAGAAATGTTGAAAAGATATATAGTTTTTTAATATCTATAATTTTTTTAATATTTATAATTTTAAGTAAATTTTATTGAACAAATTTATAATTCATTAAATATTTTTTATACTGCTACTTTTTGAGTAATTTTTTTTAAAAGATATATACTCTATAAATTTGTTTAAAAGATATACACTCCTTTTTTCAAATAGCTCGTCCCCATTTAAACATTTAAGACTCTTTATTTCCTTTAATAAATATGTTCAACTTAAAATTATTGTTTGTTTTTTTATAAAGGTATGTGAACAAAGTGTTACATAAGTTTAAGTAACTTACATTAAATTTTTAGGATTTTTTGTATAGAGAATGTTTTCTCCATAGTAATATTTTAATGTTTTATATATTTAACTGTTTTCTTTAAAATATCAAATATATTGAAAAAATTAAAACAGTTCAAGAAGTTTCAATATTTTCAAGTTTCTTTACTTGAAGCAATATATGATTGTTTATAGAGGGTTTTTTAAAATAGTTTTGTATTTACTTATTAATTGCATATCTTGCATTAAATGCAACATAATGAAAGTGGT